CACAGTATGACAAAAGGACCTATCCACACAACCCATGGTCCCCACACCCCCACAGTATGACAAAAGGACCTATCCACACAACCCATGGTCCCCACCCCTCCACAGTATGACAACGCTGACTTAAACCCCAGTTCCAGCATCTAACCAATGGAGACGATGATCTACTGGCGGCTGATGAACTATTTTAATAAGAATTTTCCAAGTCACGTGGTCAGGTTCCTTCTCTGTATAATGGCATAGCATCTGTCTATATGGCATCTTGAAGTTATCTTAAAGGCTAGCCGGCCTGAATTGCTTTTTTTTTTTTTTTTTTTTTTTGTTAGTTTGTAGTTTTGTTGAGATGGTCTCCCTATTTTGCACAAGTTGACCTGGAATTCACTGTATGCCCAGGCCGACCTCTGATCGATCCTCAGCCTCAGAAGTGAGTGTTGGGATAACAAGCTTGTGTCACTAAGCCCAGCCTGAATTGGATTGTGCTGAAATTTCATTAGGGTTGTTCCCACGTGTGTCCCCTTGCATACAGACAGCAGTGAAAGAGATGAGCCCAGGGGTCATGACGTATTGGGTCCAAATTCTAGCCAACCACTTCCCAGTTGCAAGATTCTGGGAAAATAACTTCTATACCTCTGGGTTTTCATCGTAAAAGGGGAATCGTCCTTCCCTAGGGAGCTAGGGTAATAAAATGGATTAGTCTAGAATAATGCTACAAGGCAGCGCCTATCCCATTGCAAACGCTCAGCCTAACATTTGTTTACTCGGTCAGCTTTCCGTCGCCGGGACGAAAGGATGGGGAATTTCTAACCATTCTAAATTTTCTTCTGGTCGTGCACCAGCTAACCCCACAGACTGAGCTGGCCCCAAGTGCCCGGTGCACCGGGACTTGCCTTCCAGGCCTCTCCTCACTAGCACCTGGAGCACCAGTGCGCTCTCCGGCCCCGCTCAAGGCCCAGAAGGTGGTGGACCCTTGTTGGGGGCCACACAGGCCACCAGACACCAGAGCCAGAGCCAGACCCGCTAGGTCCGCTTCCCAAGGGCCAGTCTCTACGCGAGAAGCACGCTGCTGAACCAAGGATCGTAGCCCGCGCCGCCGCTCAGGGCGTCTGCCGCGGGGCACGCCGGGACTTGTAGTTCGTGGCTGCTTCCCACTCCTAGCTCTCTGCGGCGCGCGGACTCCAACCCCCAGGCACCTGCGAGGCCAGGCCAGCGATTTTAGGGGTCCCGGGCGCCCCGAGGCCGCCGCCTAGACCAGACTCAGGTTGGTACGGACAACAAGCCCAGGGCGGGGAGCCGAGTCGCTGCGGAGGACTGCACCCCTGGGACTCACCGACTTTGTAGGGCAGTTTATCAGACATGCTGGCGGCGCTTCCGCTAGGACTGATGAACTCAATGAAGGGGGCCGGACGGCGCGGGGCAGGGATCTACGCCTGGCGCCGGCGTCTTTAAATATCTCCTTATTTGAATATTCATAAGTCCCGCTGGGGCTGAGACTTGGGGGCGGAGTCTAGCGGGAGGTGCAGAGCTGAGCGGCAATGAGCCTGGACTTTGATCCCAACCACAAAAAATAATACATTTTATGTTCCTTGGCCTTTGGACTCCTGGCACCCGGCAGGAAGAGAGTGTGGAGAGGGGAGGTTCTTCTCCCATCGTTCAGCCAGTGAACCAGAGGTCAAAACAATGCAGAACTTTCAGGCCGATTTACTTCCCTGAGCCTTAATTTCTTCTGGTATGCAAGACTCTCTACCGCACAGGATACAAGTAAAGAGCTGGGCCTAGTGGTACACGCCTGTAATCCCAACAACTCGGGAGACAGAGCCAGGAGGACTGCCACAAGTTCGAGGCCAGTCTGGTCTTACAGCTAGTTAGTTCCAGGCTAGCCTGGGCTAGAAAGTGTCTCCAAAAGAAAAATAAGGAAAATTACAAGTTGCATTGTGACACTCTCTCTCCCTCCCTCCCTTGCCCGCCCCTACCTCAACAAGTCCTCATTCTACTATCATGTCTTCTTATTGCTTTTGTTTGGTGACCCACAAGCCGCCCACGTGGAAAAGAGCGTGGAGCTATCCATAGGAGCATAGATAGCTCACCCGTGGCTCAGCAGCCATAACTGCCAATAGCTTTCATGTAGGAGCCAGGCCCGTGTTGTGGGCAAACACCATCTCTGGGGCGCTCAGTTGGCCCCCTTGTAAAAGGATTATCCCAGCTGGACTTGTTTACTGTTTACATCTCATGGAGTGGAGAGAAGGGTCCCAAACCCTCCCCTGAGTATCCAGCTGCACCCCACGACCTGCTATATGCAACTAACTCTGCCTTAATTGAACATGGCCTCAGGAAGAGGTTAGAGTGTCAACTTGACACAAGCAAGAGTCATCTGGGAAGAGGGACCTCAATTGAGAAAATGCCTCCATCCATATTGCCTGTAGGCAGGCCTGTGGAGAATGTTCTTTGTTGATGATTGACGGGAGGACCAGCCCATTTTGGGTGGTGCCACCCTGAGTAGTTGTTCCTGAGGTATATAAGAAAGCAGGCTGAGCAAGCCATGGGGAGCAAGCCTGTAAGCAGCAGTTCCCCATGGCTTCTGTATCAGTTTCTACTTTCAGGTTCCTGCCTTGACTTCCTGCCCTGACTTCCCTCAGTGATGCACTGTTACCCGGAAGGGTAAGCTGAAATAAACTCTTCCCTCAAGTTGCTTTCGGTCGTGGTGTTTACCGAAGCAGCAGAAAGCAAACTAGGACACGCTCCCTCCCTCTACTCCGTCCTCTTCCCCACTCCCTGCCCCATCCTTGTGATCCCATTGCCATCTCAGGTTGCTGACTCTGAATAAAGCCTGTCCTAAAGAGTCAATCCCCTCTCTGCTCATTGGCCTCTATAGTGACAAGACACAAACTCTACTATCCTGGTTACAAAACCATGGACCAAAATCAATCACTCAATCTCTTACACACACACACACACACACACACACACACACACACACACACACACCTCTTCCCTTTCCTTTCTCTCTCCTCCCTTCTTTCTTTTCTCTCTTCTGTCTGTCCCCCCTCCATCCCTGTCATTATGTAGTTCAATGGCCTTGACCTCAATATATAGTCCTGTCCCATCTCAAACTTGAGATCCTCCTGCCTCAGCTTCTCAACTACTGAGATTACAGGCTTGGTCTACCATGCTGGGCTGTTTGTCCTGGTAAGTTGATTGTCTGAAGTATTTTTGTTATCGTTACAGGAAGCTGATGAACACAGCAGTATTCCTTCTGGTTTCTAAAAGAGACTATATAGAATGCCTATTAACTCTTCCAAAAACTTCTATTTGTGTTTATATTATGTGTGTGCCTGTGTGAGTTTTGTGCACCACCTGTGTGCAGGTGCCCTTGGAGGCCGAAAGGAATCGGATTGGAATCGGATCCCCTGGAACTGGCATTACAGGGAGTTGTGATCCACCTGATGTGGATCAACCTGGAAATCAAACCTAGGTCCTCCGCAAAAGCAGTAATCACTCATAACCATGAGCCTTCTCTCGGGTGTCTATAACTCTTTAATCTTTGTGTTTTGTTTTGTTTGTGTTTTGTGTGTGGGTTTGGTTTTTGGGTTTTTTTTTTTTTTGG